TGCTCCAGACACCCCCAGCACAAAAGCCCCCAGAGCTGAAGGATCCTGGCAGTGACCATCGGGAGGGAGAACTAGAATGGGTAGTTTGGGGACCACTGAGCTAGGTCTCTGACTGGCAAAGTCCTGGGGGTGCAGATGACTGGAACCCCAGCTCGCCTGCAGCCCCCTTCTCCCTGTTTGTATGCTAAGGGTCTTGGAAAGTGAAAGCATCCACCAAGCCAGAGGAGAATAGACGGGAAATGGCTAAGTTGTGAGAAGAGGCCCAATGTAGGCACCACACAGCCAGGACCAGCTCCTGAGATGCCGAGTAAGGGGTGCTGGGAATGCCCAGGGGTCTTATCCACTTCCTGCCCCTCCCAGGCAGGCCAGCCTGGGCTTGCCTGCCGCTGGAAACATCCTCCTCCCCTGCCTCCCCAGCTCCCTTCCATTCACCTGCCCATAGCCTGAGAGTACTTGTCTCCCTGCCCTGCCTGGGCTCACCAGGTCTCAGAGAACTCACCACACAGGGAGACCACCTCCCCACAGGACACCCAGTGAGTCCCTCTGCTCATCTACATGGATCCTATGCTCATCTATATAGACCTGTCCATCTACATAGACCTCTGTCCATCTGCATAGACCTCTGTTCATCTGCATAGACCTCTGTGCATCTACATAGACCTCTGCGCATCTACATAGACCTCTGCTCATCTACATAGACCTCTGCTCATCTGCATAGACCTCTGCTCATCTTCATAGACCTCTGCTCATCTTCATAGACCTCTGTCCATCTACATAGACCTCTGCTCATCTGCATAGACCTCTGCTCATCTGCATAGACATCTGTCCATCTACATAGACCTCTGTCCATCTACATAGACCTCTGTCCATCTACATAGACCTCTGTCCATCTACATAGACCTCTGTCCATCTACATAGACCTCTGTTCATCTGCATAGACATCTATCCATCTACATAGACCTCTACTCATCTACATAGACCTCTGCTCATCTTCATAGACCTCTGTTCATCTACATAGACCTCTGTTCATCTGCATAGACCTCTGTCCATCTACATAGACTTCTGCTCATCTATAGACCTCTGTTCATCTACATAGACTTCTACTCCTCTATAGACCTCTCTCCATCTACATAGACCTCTGCTCATCTTCATAGACCTCTGTTCATCTACATAGACCTCTGCTCATCTACATAGACCTCTGCTCATCTGCATAGGCCTCTGTCCATCTACATAGACCTCTGCCTTCCTGGGGATTAGTGGAGATCAAGTCTCTCCTTCGTCCTTTCCTCATCCCTTAGATGCTGGGAGGAAGCAGCTGGAGCACCTACTCTGCTTAGGACCCCACTACCACACACACCCCATGCCTGCCCCTCCTCTCCCCTCACCACACACCTGGCCCTCCTCTCCCCCACATGGCCTCCTTGCTGTTCCCAGAATATAGAAATCGGAATTGTGAGACTGGGTGTGTGACCCAGTTGATAGAGTGCTGGCCAAGTATACAAGAAGCTCTTGGCTCTGTCCCCATCACATAAAACAGAGCACAGTGGCACACATGCTATCCCAGCACTCAGGAGGCTGAGGCAGAAGAACCCCAAACGTGTTTCCAAGACAAACATGTTGCTGGTGGTTCTTGTCCCACCTGGTCCCTCTGCCCTTTAGCCCCAAATAAGCACACAAAGACTTACATTAACTATAAAACTGTTGGCCGATGACTCGGGCTCCTTATTGGCTAGCTCTGTCTTAATTATTAACCCATTTCTATTAATCTAAGTAATTCCATGGGGTCTTGGCTTCCCAGAGAATGCTCAGACCTGTTACTCCTTTGGCAGCCTACATGGCATCCTCCATTGGAGGGCTCCCTCTGCCTACCTTTCCCAGAATTCTCCTTCTCTCCTAGTCCCGCCTATCTTCCTGCCTCATTAGCCAAATAGGGTTTTATTCATCAACCAATAAAAGAAACATACACACAGAAGGACATCTGCATCACAGACACTAAACACAAGAGCAGGCCCCCCCAGTGGCTGGCCAACAGGTCAGCTCCCCTGAGGGAAGCCAGGAAGATGGTTGTTGGACCAGGGGATCTTCACTAGGAAAAGACTGTCCAAGCTCCTCCATTTGCTGCCCCTGGAGCCACTAAGATATCACAAGGTCAAAAGACTAGTGTAGAAAAAAGACATATACTTGCAAAGAGTTTAAAGAAAGGTATAAACAAAGACCTAGAAGTTTGAACCCCAAAATCACAAGCCCCCATGGGGTGTATGAGAAAGGTCAGCCTGTGAAGCCTCATGGGAAATGTTTCTGAGAACGTTCACATGTGCTGCTGAAGTAATTTTCGTTTATGACTAGCAGGGATTAAAAACAGAGACTGGGACCATGAGTTCAAGATCAGCCTGGCCTTGTGTACTTAAGAAAGTACAGCCAGCTCTGATGGTACAGATCAGTGTTTCCAGCTCTCTGGAAGATGAGGCAGGAAGATCAAAACCTCAAGGCCTATCTGGACTTCAGAGCAGGTTCCAGGCCAGCCTGGGCAACTGAGCAAGACACTGCCTCAAACAAAAAGTAAAAATTGGCTGGAGATGTCACTCAATGGTAGAGCGTTTGCCTGGCATACACAAGGCCATAGGTGCAATCTCCCAACTCCCACCAAACCACTAACAATGATTGTAACAGTGGGATTTGGGAAGAGGGTTCAGTTGGTAAAGTGTTTGCCATGCAGACACACATACCTGACTCCCATCCCCAGAACCCATGTGAAAAAGCTGGACTTGGTGGCTCACGCTTGTGAGGACAGGGAGACTGGAGGACCCCTTGGGCTCGCTGGCCAGCCAGCCAAGCCTACTTGCTGAGTTCGAAGCCAGTGAGAGACACTGCCTCAAAAACAAGGTGAATGGTGCCTGAGGAATGACACTCAAGGTTGACCTGTGGCTATGCACACACACACACACACACACATACACACATACACCACACACATACACACACACATACTACACACATACACACACACTACACACATACACAACACACATACACACTACACACACACAACACACACACACAACACACATACAGACTACACACACAACACACATACACATACACACATACACTACACACACACATACATACACTACACACACAGACACTCACACACAGACACACACACACTACACACACATACACTACACACACACAGACACTCACATACAGACACACACACACACACAATTAATAATAAGTGCATACGACAGGCCAGGCAGGAATCAAGGATCCTTGTAAGGAGAAAGCACCCCCATTCTCCCAGAGGCCTTCTTTACCCATATTTCTCCTGCGAGGGCAGAGCCCATGGTTCACCCCTGCCCACAGTGGCCTTTCCAGGGAAGGGCACAGGTCAGCAAGGTGAGCAGCGGGAACTGCTGTCCTCAGCTTGTCACCAACCTCAAAGGAGATGATTTAGGTGAAAGTGTAGGTGGCCTGGCAGGCACACAGCCCTGTGGACGTCAGCCACATGGAAAGGCAGAGCCTTCTAGAACCATTACAAAATCCAAGATGGCGGCTGTGGGCAGCTGTTAGCTTGCATGGGCCAACCCTTCCTCTTCCTCTTCCTCTTCCTCCTCCTCTTTCCCCTTCTTGTTTTTAAATTACACTTATTTATTTGCGTTTGCTTTTGTTTTTGTTTTGTTTTGTTTTGAGACAGGATTTCTTTGTGCAGACCAGGCTGTCCTGGAACTCAGAGATCCACCTGCCTCTGCCTCCCGAGTGCTGGGACTAAAGGTGTGCACCGCTGTCACCCAGCCGTGGGTATATGCTTGTGTGTGACACCATGTGTGTGCAGGTCAGAGGACAACTTGTGGGAACTGGGTCTCTCCCTCCTCCACTGTGGGTCCGGGTGAGTGAACTCAAGTGGTCAGCTGCGTTGCAAACTCACTGCGCCATTTTGACAGGGCTGCTTTGTTTTTGGAACCAGCATCTCATTCTGGAGCCCAGGTTGTCCTCAAACTATGATCTTCCGGCAGGACTTCCAGAGTGCTGGGATTGGGACCTTGGGTGCCATTCCGGCAGCCGGGTCCCATAGAGCATAGGGTGTGGCCCCCAGAAGGCGACCCCAGCTGCCTTACACTGCTGAGAAGCTTCCCAGACATCACTGTGGTCAGTAAGAACCCTCTATGACCCCAGGCAGTCAGGAAACTCCTTTTTCTAGAACTTTCCATTCTGTTCTGCCATTCTGGCGGGTTGGGGTCTGAGAGCCCCCTTCCTGCATTGGCAATGACAAGGTCAGCTGGGATGCAAGCACTGGAGTGATTTCCACCCTCCTCCGACTCCCCCGCGCTGCCAGGATGAGGCGAGGAGGTCAGGTTCAGGGGCTGGAAAGCCAGGCACAGGGCCCATGTTGCCGAGCCAGAGAAAACTGGATTGACACCCAACCCCGGGGGCTAGAGATCCCACGCTCTGACCCAGGAAGCAAGGCAAAGGCCACAGGACATAGGTGGAGGCTGGAGCTGCCCAAGGCTGGGAGGGACGGACACCCCACTGACCCCGCTTCCCACTTGGAGCTGCCACTCTGGACTGGACCCTTCTTTGCCAAACTGCTTTCGCCATCCCCATCGGACCCGAGGGAGCCTCGCAGATTGTGCTGGGGCGGTTCCTGGCTGTGAGACCAGGCCAGAGCCACAGGGGGGGTTGCGCGCACCAGTACCCTCAGACCTGGGTTCAAATCAGGTCCTGTCACCCACCTGTTTTGTGACCTCCAGCACTGTACACTCACTCTCTGAGCCCCTGGATTGTTTTCAGTTTTCTCCTCGAGCTCAGGTGCGCAGGACACCCCGGAGGCACGGATGCCAGCACAGGCCCCCCTGTTCTCTTCCTTTGTCCCCATTAGCCCATCCCACCTCCCTCTTACTCCTGCCTCAGTGTGCTCCCCTAGCTCTCCGGTTATACGGGACTCCAGGGTCAACCCGCGCCGCACATCATGTAGGGAGTGAGTCAGGGAAGCTCGTACGTACGTTTCTTTTAGTGTTGTTGTTCTATTTTGCCTTTTGTTTTCCAAAGTAGAGTCTCGTAAAGCTCAGGCTGGCCCCAAACTCACCATGTTGGCAAGGATGACCTTTAACCCCTGGTTGTCCTGCTTCCATCTCCACTGACAGGTGTAAACCGCCATGCTCCGTTTTTGCACAGGGAATTGAATCCAAGGCCTCTGCACAGTAGGCCAGTGCTCTACCAACTGAGCCCTAGTCCATCATGTACAATTCTACAGGTGGGTTCTGATGTATCCGGAGGACCACCTTCTGGATAAAATCCAGACACTTCTCAACCGTCCACGAGGCCTCCATGCCCATCCAGGCAGTAGATCTCCTGCCTGCAGAAGGAACTTCCAAGGTGACTGGGATCTCCCTGGTGACTGCCCTTCAATTTTGTATCAGAGGACTTACACAGAGAGCGGCCTCTCGTGTCGCGTGTTCAGATCCGAAGCTCAGCTGCAATTTTGCTATCATCCTGCCCATCGATGGACCACAGTTGGACATCTGCTCGATGACTGAAGGCGTTGGGTTGTTCCTTGGCTTTGGTTTCAGGCTACGAGAGCTGTACTGCTGTGGGAAGGTCACTGGTCTTTGGCAGGCAAGCGCTTTCTTTCTCTGGGGTGCCTTGGCGGTCAGTGTTTCTCTTGGTGTCCCTTTGAGCATGCAGAGAAATAGGAAGAGTCGTGTGAGGCTCCAGGCTGTCTCCTCAGGCTGTTCCTCCCACAGCCTCCCTGCATTTGGGTCTCCTTTCCTTTTGTTTTCCTTTTGTTTTGAGACAGACTCTCAAATCATTGTGTAGCTCAGGATGGCCTGGAACATGCCATCCTCCTGCCTCAGCTTCCTGAGTGCCTGTAATCCAGGTGTATGACACCAGACCCCGTTTATCATCGTCTTTTTGTCTGCATTTTTCCTTTAGCTGAGTTATTTGAGAATGAGTTGTAAATATGACACCGTTCTCCATCCGGTACCTCCTGACCTCCGTCACTTGCACATGCGTGCGCTCACACACACACACACACACACACACACGTGCGCTCACACACACGCGCGCGTGTGCTCACACACACACGTGCGCTCACACACACGTGCGCTCACACACACACATGCGCTCACACGCACAGTACTAAAGCCGAGTTCAAGTCAACATCACAGTTGTCTCCATGTGGGTCATATGACAGATGACATAAATCCCTCCAGCCACGTTTGGGGGTCTCACAGTCTGAAGCAGTTCCTTCCTTGGTATTCCCTCGATTCTCACGACCTCGGCATGATTGAGGATGACAGCCAGCTGTTCTTAGGGCGCTCCCTGCTTTGAGTTCACCCCACGTTCCCTGAGGGTTAGGCTCTGTGCCTCTGGACTATAACAGCAGCGGTAACACTGGGTCCCTGGGTGTCCTGTGAGGTGGCGCACACCTGTAATTTGTCCCCTAGCTGGAAAATGGGGACAGTGAAGTACCCCACCCCATGGAGTGATTTCAAAGATTAAATGAGACACAGCCCAAGGTCTGGTTTCGCAATGTTCTCTCTGTGTGTCTGACCTGTCTCCTGTCCCCTGTCCCTAGCCATATCCCAGAATTCCCACCCAACCTCAGAAAGAGACAAGGATACAAGGAACTTGGAATTCATCCCATCTGGTTACAAGCCGGTGCTGGCTCTGCCTGACCTCCTGAGTGACAGGGACAGAGAGGCCAGAGAAGGCAAGTGCTTCCCACATACCACTGAGGGACACTCAATCTCCCTCTGTACCAGAGATTTTTCAACTGAAAGCAATTTTGCCTCCAAGCAAGAGCTGGCAGCTTTGACCAGGGAGCCTGTCATGGTGATACATAGCCATTAGTCCAGCACCTCAGTGACTGAGGCAGGAGGATGGCAAGTTAAAGGTAAATGTGGGCTGCATAGAGAGATACTATTTCAAAAAAACAAAAATCTAAGAGTGGTTACTTACTCCTGAAACCTCAGCACTCAGCATGTTGAGGCAGGAGGAGCACCATGCATTCAAGACCCCACTGGAGGGAGGAGTCTCTGTAGTTCAATGTGACAATAGAGGTAGTGCTATACATTTTTTGGTGCATAGGAAACCTGGAAAGAAAGTGACCCAATCCTGAACTGCATCATGTGGGGCTGTGGCACCCCAACACATACCAGACTTAAGGAGCTGGCAAGCAGACCCCACCAGTGCCGTCTCCCCCTTTCCACCTGGGCCCAGAGAGCGAAGAGCAAAGGCCCAGTTTTGACGTCCTGGCACACCTAGGATTTGAGGAAGGGTTTCATCTTACAAAGTGGGAGTCTTGAGTCCAAGGCTGCAGTTTCCTAAGCTTTCAGAAGCTTCAGAGAACTCTGAGAACCCCAACTTCTGGCAGTTGAGGGTGAAGGACTCAAGGGGCAACCTTTGCTCTGTCCTCTGAACATGAGGGGCAGGGGTCCAGGCTCCAGAATCCAAGACAAGTTTAGCATATTAATAAATAAAAATGATGATGGTGGTGGTGGTGATTTCTCCCCCAGAAAATGGAGAAACCATAACTCTACAGTGATGAAAAGAAAAGATGGCCGGGTAGATGGCTCAGTGGGTGAGGTGATTGCCTCACAGCCTTAAGGGCCTGTGTTCAGAACCCCAGCACCCACATAAAGCCATGTGTGACCGTGTGAGCTTGTAATCCCAGTGCTGGGGAGGTGGGGACAGGCAGACCTAGGCCAGACAGCCAGACAGTCTAACCCAATCCGTGAGCTCCAGGTGCAGTAGAAGAGCCCATCTTTTAAAATCAGGTAGAGTGGCTGAGGAAGGTGGCTGACTGTCACCTGCAGCCTCCACAGGTGCACAGGTACACACACCCCAGATGAACACACACACACACCACAGGGTTACACACTCACACATACATGCACAACAGCCCATCAATAAATAGATAAGATGACTCAGTGTGTACACGTGCTTGCTATCAAACCTGATGACCTGAATTGATCCTCCGGACATACATGGAGGGGAGAACCAACTCCTACAAATTGCCCTCTGACCTCCACACACATACAAACAAACAAACAATGTAATGTAATAAAAAGGTAACTTAATAAGCAAATAAATGGATACTTGAAAACTGGAGGCTAACCGAGATATTTACATTGTTTCAAACTCCCTCCCCCTCAAGTATCTATTAGGTACAAAGAGGGAGAAACTACATTACAAATCTGACCCCCTGACCCACTGTGATTTCTACTGGTGAGCCCAGAGCTCCAGAGACAGAAGCTGGAGACTGACTGTGAGTTTGAGGCCAGCAAGAGCTGTTTGTCAAGGCCAGGCCGTTCTCAAAAACCCTAAACCAAAACCGAAAGTGAAGTCCTGCAGGACTTGCTCTGATCAGGTGACCAGAGTGTGACCGGCTGCTGAGACAGAGTCAAGCTCAGCCCTCAGGTCCTGCAAAAACTCAGAATCGGTGTCACATGCAGGGAGATGACCTGTGAAGCTGCTGAGAGGATCATGTGTGACAGTGAGAGCCACAGAGCAACCTTCCCATGTCCTGTGACCTGCCACGGTTGACAGAGGCGTGCTGAGGCACGAGACAGTGAGGACGTGAGGCCACCAAGTCTAGCCTGGTCTACATAGAGTCCCAGGCCAGCTAGAGTTACATAGTGAGACCGTCTTGAAAACAAGTGAAGAAACAAAAGTTCAAAAACAAACAAACCATGAAGGATCGATGACAACTCAGAGATTTGTCCTCAGTTCTGAAGAAATGTGTTATTTAGAGTTTGCCTTTTTCCTGTAAATCTTAGATCTTTTTCAAAAGGAAAAGTGTTTTGTTTTGTTGTTTTAACTGCACACACACTCACTGAGTGCGTCATTACCACACGAAGGAATTCAAACAGGGCCACCATTTGCTACATTTCCCAAGGATGTGACCCTGAAGTCCACCCTTTGGACCACTTAAAGACCTGTCTGCAACGTGTTCACCTCAGCCACCCTAAAGAGCACAGACAGGAACCCATGTGTCCCCAAGCTATCAAATTAGGGAGCAACCACTCAGCAATACAAAGGACTAATGAGCCTCACACTGCTGCCTGGGGAAATGTCAAGGTAGACTCGGGGCCACTGCATGGAATTCCTTTAACACGATTCACAGAAACAGGCCAGCCAGTTCTTGCTTCAGATATCAAGGTACTGGCTGGGCAGTGGTGGCGCACACCTTTAATCCCAGCACTCAGGAGGCAGAGGCAGGTCGATCTCTGTGAGTTCGAGGCCAGCCTGATCCTACAAGAGCTAGTTCCAGGACAGCTAGGGCTACACAAAAAAACCCTGTCTTGAAAAACCAAAAATCAAAACAAACGAACATATATGAAGGAGCTGGGGCTGGGGATGTGACTCTGTGGTAAAGCGTGCTCATCTAGCATTCGCGAGGTCTGGGGTTCAATCCCTGGCATAGTGCAGGCCTGTAATCCCAGCACTCGGGAGGCAGAGGCAATGCCGGGCGTTGGTGGCACACGCCTTTAATCCCAGCACTCGGGAGGCAGAGGCAGGTCGATCTCTGTGAGTTCGAGGCCAGCCTGATCCTACAAGAGCTAGTTCCAGGACAGCTAGGGCTACACAAAAAAACCCTGTCTTGAAAAACCAAAAATCAAAACAAACGAACATATATGAAGGAGCTGGGGCTGGGGATGTGACTCTGTGGTAAAGCGTGCTCATCTAGCATTCGCGAGGTCTGGGGTTCAATCCCTGGCATAGTGCAGGCCTGTAATCCCAGCACTCGGGAGGCAGAGGCAGGCGGATCACTGTGAGTTCGAGACCAGCCTGGTCTACAGAGCGAGTTCCAGGACAGCCTCCAAAACAATACAGAGAAACCCTGTCTCGAAAAAAAAAAAACAAAAACAAAAACAAAAAGTAGAGGCAAGGGGAATCAGAATTTCATGACCAGCCTGGGCTACATGACACACTGTCTCAACAACAAAATCAGGGTACTGATAACTAGGTGTGAAGAGGGTTCTTGGACGTTGTCTTGGCCCACAGGGGCCTCAAGCTGGGAAAGTTAGGTGCATTTGCAGGTGTGTAGAGGACATTAGGGAAGAGGGACATACAGCAAGAGGTGACCACATGGGCCAGACCGGATGAGACTATAAAACAAGGAAGAAATGGTGTAAGGGGACTCAGGCCAGACTCAGTGTAGTCCTTGAAATGACCTATGACAAACGTGTGCATGTACCTGGGGTCAGGAACGAAGGCAAGAATGCTGCTTTTGTCCTGCATGGAGCAGGAGAGGCTGGGGCCCAGCAGGCCCTGACCCGCCCCAGTGCTCTCTCCTCCACAGCCCCTCCCCGGGCCACCAGGCCTCTGAGGAGTCTTCCTCCTCCCTGGTGGCCTCATCCCTGCCAGGGCTGCAGGGCTGGGCCAGGGATCTGGTGACAGCTATAAAAATAATAACCTACCCGGCCAGCTCTCCCTGGCCTCCTGACTCGCCTTGCAGCGATCTTAGTGGGGCTGGCCCTGGCGGTCTGCGAAGGTGCCTTCCAGTCCTGGCAGGCTGGCTTCTCCAGGGGGCAGGTGCTGGTGGCTGGGGCTTGGGGCAGAGAGGTCATTCCGGGTGACATCTGGGCCCTACACAGTTGACAGCATGCTCTGTGTACCGCCAGTAGGGCCTGGGCCTCTCTGACTGAAGCTCAGGACCCCCTTTCCGGACTGGGGTAAGAAAGCAGGGCTGAAGCCTGCGGAAGCCAGCTGGGAAGTTTCTACCCAGTCCAAAGGCCTGAGTCAAGCCTTACCTGAAACTCACTGAGACTCCAGAGTCATCTGGAGACACAAGAGGCCTTCACACATGACTTCTATAATTCAAATGAATTCAATCAACCCTTTCACCTGGTCTAACAGAGACCTTTTTTCCTCTCAGGGCAATGATGGCAGCAGATCAGCCCAGACAAGGAAGCAGTAGGCCACCACTAAGAAACACAGGTGACAAAGAGACCCAGTCAGCTCTGTGCCATTTGGGCAAATGTATCAGAAATGAATTCAGTTGCCAGTAACAGGAAACCAAATGACAAAAGTCTCAATGAGCAGTTCTTTTCTCCGCGTAAACAAGCACAGAGCAAGGCCGGGGAGGACTGGTGTGGCTCCTCGGCCACCATCAGGACTCAAATGCCTTTTGTCTTTTGGGTTTGCCACCCTGAGGGAAGGCTCGCCCCTGGGTTCAAGATGGCCTCCGAGGCTCTGCCATCACATCTGACTTCCAGGCAGAGTGTAGGAAGAAGTAAGGGGTTCAGAGGAAATCAACGGCATGTGCCTCACGGCTGAGTCCTACGAAGATGCTCCCGGAAGCCCTATAGTTTCTGTTCACGGCTCATGGGCCATTTCTAGCTGCAAGAGAAGCTGGAAATTTGTTGTCTCTCCATAAGGCGGCTGTCCCCAGAAACAGGGCAGTCCACTGCTAAGGGAGACGGGGAGGTGTGCACACTGAAGTGGCAATGTTAGCTACACTGAAGGGAGATGGAATGAAAATCCGTGGAATGAAAATCCGTGGAAGAAAATTCTAGAATTTAACCAATGCCGTCTCCAGAGGTCTCTGCATGAACTAACCTGTCCAATCTTTTCGAAACACTCCAAGGAATTTTACTATCTTCTTGTCACAGCCAGGGAAGAGGACTGTGACTGCCCAATTCATGTCCAGGACAGTGGCTAACCCCCACCCTGTACCAGGCTTGGATCATGTTAAATACAGCACCAACTCAGTTCTCACTACATCCTGTCCCTATGAAGCCAGTTCTTCATTACCCCACTTGATGAGCAATGAATCGGAGGCACAGAGAGGCAGCATAACATACCTAAGGACAAACAGCAATAGCGAACAGGTTTATTTCTGGGTATTAAAATCATGGGTGCTTGCCGGGCGTTGGTGGCACACGCCTTTAATCCCAGCACTCGGGAGGCAGAGGCAGGCGGATCTCTGTGAGTTCGAGGCCAGCCTGGTCTACAAAGCGAGTTCCAGGACAGCCTCCAAGACAATACAGAGAAACCCTGTCTCGAAAAACAAAAACAAAACAAAACAAAAATCACGGGTGCTTTTAATTAGTTTGCCACATTAGTAATTCTCTGGAAATTAAACAAAAACAAAAAGCCTCTTGGAAGTCCAGCCTCCTGCCTGTCCCCCAGTCCTGAGGCCACAGGAAGCCTGGCTTCTCTCTGCAGACGTGCCTGTCTCTTCTTGTTCGCCAGTCACCTCGTCACAAAGAACTCTCTCTCTCTCTCTCTCTCTCTCTCTCTCTCTCTCTCTCTCTCTCTCTGTCTCTGTCTCTGTCTCCCTCTGTCTCTCTCTGTCTCTGTCTCTCTCTCTGTCTCTGTCTCTCTCTCTCCTCTCTCTCTCTCTCTCTCTCTCTCTCTCTCTCTCTCTCTCTGTCTCTGTCTCTGTCTCTCTCTCTCTGTCTCTCTCTCCTCCCAACCTCTGTTCCTCCAGTCCCTCCTAGCCAGCCTGGCCCTTCTTCCTGCCTGGCACAAGGCTCGGCACAGATGGCTCCAGGCCCTGGGACAGGCCCGAGCCCTCGGGTCCCCCGGGCCAGGCAGGCTCTCTGCTCCTTCACCCATTGCACTTTGCCTAGCCCCAAGGACTTTGTGGGTGCCAGACTCTGGCAGGGACACCTACTCAGTCATCCTCAAACAGGCTCCGTTCGCCTCACCCTGGCCTTAGAGGCCCTGCAGAAAGAACCCTGACCCTCCATTCCTCCTCTGCCAGCTCCAGCCCTCCCTGCCACCCCTCCAGCCCGCCTCAGGGCTCCGCACCTGCTGGCCTGCTCCTGAGGCGCCTCCTCGGGCACCTTCTACTGCTTCTCAGGCTTATTTTCCTCAGGGGCTCCCATCGCCGTCTGAATGAACGCACCAGTCTGCCTCTGCTTCCTTCTGAGGGTTGAGGAGTTTGAGACAGGGTCTTACATAGCCCAGGCTAGCCGCAAACTTCTTACATAGTTGAGGATACTCTTGAACTCCTGACCTTCCTGCCTCCATCTCCCAAGTGTCGGGGTAACAGACATGTGCCACCCCACCAGGGATCACTCAACATTCTGTTCCTAGTAACATGCTACTCCCCTGACTTGGGGTCTACAGCAAGCGTCTGCTTGCACTGGTTGACCAGATGGACTCGTCCGTGGGGAAGGCGGTCAAGTACAGAGAGGCCAAATGTGGTGCTTGATGTCCCCAGCCAGCAGAGGACAAAGCTCGCAGCCAGGGATCCCAGTGCACATTTTAGCCCTCAGAGGTTGTGGGTGCCCGTTGTCAGTCCTGTGGCAAGGCCAGGCCAGGCCACCAGTTGACCTGGGTTCAAATGCAGCTCCCTCAAGGCTGGTCCTCTGGCATAGAACCTTGCAGGTGCTCTCCAACATGTACAGACTGCCCATCTTTTTATCGATAGCAAAGGTACACCATGGCTCCCAGTGTGATTTAAATCCTGTTCTAATCCTGCGCCTCTAAATTACCCCATAATCTTGGATTAAAAAAAAAAAAGCTGCACTACTCTTTGAGAATGTCCCTGTGAAGAGCCTTGGGTCACCACATATCACAAAACAAGGCTCCTAGCTACTGCCTCAGAGGACGCAAAGATGGCTCGGTCATCAGCTCTTGGCCCACCCTGCTACCCCCTGCTTTGCCCAGCCTTGAGCCCCCACCACCCCCAAGCAAGCCCTCACCCAATGGCAATATCTGAACCCCTCAGGAGGGGTTGGTGGGACACTACCGGGGTCTCCATGTCAGCTGGCCCACAAGCATCAGGAATGGGCTGAGGGACGGGAGGGCTTGAGGTCACAGCAGGGCAGGTGAGCCTTTGGGGTCACACTGAAATGGGAAGCCACAGCCCACTTTAGCCTTTAGCTGCTCAGCAGCTCTAGCGACAGTGACTTTGCCTGTCCCTGGCTTTCCCCTCGGGGGAAAGGAGGTGGAAGCCAGGGCTGGTTTCATGAGGATTGCAGGCAAATGAAGCACATGGTATCCCAGGCTCCCCACTTAGCTTAGGCTGGCCCGGAAGAGATGCCTCCTCCCAGAAGCCCTCGGGGGCCTCCCACTCCTCCCCTCCCTTTCCTGCCCCACTTTTCTTCCTCCTGAGTCTTTGTCCCCACCTGTCATTATCTTGTTCCAGTGGCTGAATATTCAAGTGTCCTTCTCTCCTTATTAATTGTCACCTCCTTCTCTGTCACCACCCAACTCCAACACCTGCAGTGGGAGCTGGCATATAGCTGGTGCTCAATAAACGCTCGTCATATAAATGAAAAGTAACCGGGCAAATAATATCAAAGAGGAGAGGAGCAAACAAGTCCGAACCAGATATGGGGGAGGGGGACATTCCTCAGATGGTGGGAGAGACAGTCCCCCAACCCCAGCTCCCATGCCAGCTTTTACCCTTCCCAGCTGTGCAAACTTAAGGCGCCATCACTTCCCCCTTGGAGCCTCTTGGCCAGGCAGAAGGTCCTGTAGCAGAAGCTACAACCAAGGCTGAGCCAATCACAGCAGCCGGTGGGACCTCTGCACAGGGCTGGTGCCCACACCTCTAGCTTCCCTTCCGACATCCACTTTTCTCCCGGATGAAGTCACCAGGTTGTGGGCTGGCTGCATTAGACAATGAGAGGAGAGTACATCTTGTGAGCACCTCCATCCTGAGCAGGCGTGGGGAGGGCTCTGGTCACCCCACCGCCAGGCAAGCCTCAGCAGTGACCACCACTCCGTGGGGCTGTGGGCAATATGGCTGACGCGTCCTGGCAGCAGCAGGACCCCGCAGCCTACCGATGACAAGGGTCTGGAGAGACACTTCAGCTCTGTGAGCTGTTCCCCCCCCTTAATTATCCTTCAAGCTGCTGCCCTGTTCTCTTCCAGGCTTTTAATCCAGCTGGTCCCTCTTCTGGGCAATCCCTGACCCCTGGTGGCCTGGTGATCTGATCTGTGGAATTTGTCACAGTGGCATCTCCTGTCCACAGTGCTCCTACACTGGGCCACGCGGATGGCACTCAGAGTCTTTGACCTACTTACTGCTTTTCCCATCTGAGATATCAGGCGGGCCTCGGGCCACACCCCTTCTCCCTTCGTTCCAATCTGGGCTGCCACTTGGGATTGGGTACCCGATCTTGGGGCCAGGAAATGAACCTTCCATAAAGGCTGGGGTGGGGGTGGGGGTAGGAACAGGGACTGTAAACCAACCCCAACTCCCTGGAGACAGCAGGTAGAGCCCTTCTATCTTGCTGTGACTTGAAGTTACTTATGCTGAGAAATGGGTGCAAGGCCAGCCTGGCTGCATATGTACATTAAAGTTTTCCATTCCTGGAAAGACAGAGCTCCCCTACCTCCTAGGTCCAGGCCAGGTTTGGGGTCTAAGTGGTTAAATCCTGGGACAGTGGAGCTAACCAATAGCCAATGGGGTGGATAAAAGTCACCAAAGACACTGGGCCATAGGGCTGCACTGATCTTGGCTCCCGGGCCCACCAGGTCACGTGTTGGTCTATCTAGGCCTACAGGGAGCTGACTGGAAGCCAAGTGTCTGAGGGTCTGTACAGGCCTCCAGCCACCATAGCATTGGGCAGGGGGAGAGAAAGTCTCACCCTCAGCCCTGTGACAGTGGAAGACTACAGGTCAGCAGTCCCAACACTCTGGGTTCCCACAAAGAAAGGGAAGAAAAAGCATTCCTTAGTCTCAAGCCACAGTGTCACTGGTCACTCCCAAGACCCCAAGCTCCTCTAAGCCTCTGGCAAACTGATCTGTTACCCACTACTCAGAGTTCCTCAGGGCAGAGTGCTCATAGGAACCTGACAACCACAAGCCACCACATCCAAGAAGCAAAGAGCACAGGAGTGCCCACCTTCCATGAGGCTCGCAGGGGACACGGGCAGGCCCAGGGCTTGCAGGACACGGGCTGACTCTGGACAGGCGCTCCAAACTCACACAGCCAAATAAATGCCAGGAGCCTCCCATCAAAAATAATAACAAGAACAAACACTTATGTAACAGCTCTGGCGTGCCAGGCACGGCGGGACACGGCGGCATATCCACTACTCCCTGGACACCCTCAACTCACTAATGCAGCCCGGCTGTGGCAATCAGTGCTGCCCCAGCAAATCTGTGTGGTGTTCTGAGTTCAAGCTCTGGCTCAGCCACCTTGAGCCAGGCTAAGGAGGCTCCATGATCCCTTCTGGGTTGGAAGGGAAAGCAGAGTAGGAACTGTCCCCTTCACCCTGCACTTGGCCCTGTCCCTCTTCCAGTCACACGGGGACATACAAACCAAACAGGCAAGCTCCCCTCCACACCACCAAACACACAGTATTTTTGTACTTACCAAAGTGCCTGCCCTGTCTGAGGCTGCCTGGACCAGCCCTTCCTACAGAGTCACTGCCTGCCTGGTCCCCAACACAAGCCTGACACCCAGAACCAAGCCCGTCCCAAGCAGGGTTTCTAACAAGGTCCCCAGCACCCATGGGTGCTGAGTCACCCTGATTTCCTGACCCAGCACTCTGCTCCCTCTCCTGGGGGAGGGGCTGGCACCCCATCTGCCAGGGGAAGAGAAAAACCCAGATGCGACACCCCCACCCACCACCACACACAACCCAAAAATAACCGCAGCCCCCTACACACCAGAAACACAAAAACAAAATCTCGCATAAATCCAAAGTCAGAAGGGAAGAAAAAAAATTTTTTCAAAAGCCAACTACTGCCCCCAAAAGGCTTTTAAACATTCTCCAAAAAAGTTTATTAAAATGTCTTCACTTTAATGCTCGAAACGGAAAAGGTTCTCAAAATATACATACGCCTCTTTTCTCATAGAAATAGAACTTTTTTATAATACAAAAAAATAATAAGACCAAAAAGAAAAAAAAACAAAAACAAAAACCAAAAACATCAACAGCAACAACCCCGCAGGACCATCTTTAAGGGATTACTCAGGGCCCGGCTGACAGTTACACGTGTGTTGCGTCAGTCCCGTGTCCACACGCGCTCAGCCACGTTTGATCCGGATTGCATCAAGTCCTGGAAACCGGGTGCGCGGTGCAGGTGCGTGCGCGCGGTGCCCCCACGGTGTCCCCTCGGTGCAGGTGCAGGTGCGCGCGGGGCACGCTCGGTGCGCGCGGGGCAGGCAGGCGCGCGCGCGCGGGGCAGGACGCACGGTGCCCACGGTAACCGCGGCGCCCCCACGGCACCCCCGGCGCGCTAGCAGTGACCCGCCGAGGCCAGCAGCGGCTCGGGCAGCTGCTTGAACAAGTTCCGCAGGGTGCTGAGCTCTCGCGACAGCTGCTCCACCTTCTTCTGCAGTCGCTCGTTCTCGGCCGTCAGCTCCAGCACCTTGTGCTGCGTCTCCAGGTTGCGCATCTTGGCCTTGTCGCGGCTCTTGCGCACCGCGATGTTGTTGCGCTCGCGCCGCATCTTGTACTCGTCGCTCAGCTTGTCCACCGCCTTCTTGGCCTTGGCCTTGGCGGGCGCGGCCGGCGGCCCCGCGAAGCAGGCGGCGGGCGCGGCCTTGGCGTCGGCGGGGCTCGGCGTGCCGGGCGGGCTGGACGACGACGACGTGGACAGGCTGCCGCTGCTGCCGCTCGGCGTCGCCTGGTAGCCCAGGTAGGCGCGCAGGGCAAACGGGAAGCCGGCCGCCATGGCGGGCGCGTCGTCCGCGCGCTTGCAGTCCGCGGGTTCGAAGCCCGGCTCCGCCTTGAGCGCGCCGGGCGGCGGCGGCGGGAAGCAGGCGGGCGGCGCGGCCTTGGCGCCCGCGCGCCCGAGGCTCACGTAACCGTAGTCGGCCGGCTTCTTGGCCGGCTTGGCGCCGTAGTCGTCGGCGAAGAGGTCGGAAAGGAAGTCGTGGTGCGCGGGCGCGGGCGCGGGCGCGGGCGCGGCGAAGTCCCCGGCGGGCGCGAGCGGCTCCAGGTAGGGGCTGAAGTCGATGGCGCGCTCGTGCTCGCCGATGGCCGGCTCGGCGGCGGGGGCGCGCGGCGCGGCGCGGGCCGCCTTGGCCCCGTAGGCCAGGCAGTCGGGCTCGTAGTAGAAGTTGGCCACTTCCATGGGTCTAAAGGCGGCGGGCGGCGGCGGGAGGCATGCTGCGTCCCAGGCCAGCAGGCGGTGCATGAACGCGGGGCCCGCGGGCTCCGCTGTGTCCCGGTCCCGTGCGCGGCTCGGACTCGACTCGGCGGCGGCCGAGAGGGAGGTTTATAAGGCGGCGCCTGGCAACGGGACTGCGTCACGCCGGGGCCGCCCCGGCCCCTCCCGCCGCCCGGCCGGTGCGCGTCATTCCTAGCCGCGGGATCGCGAGAGGGTGCGGCGGGGAGCGGGGCGCGGCGGGGGTCCGCGCGCGGGGGGACTGAGCGGTGTCCCGGGCGCCCCGCCAGCCCCGCGATCGCCACGGACGCGGGAGACGCCGGCCCGCCCCCTTCCCGCCCCTCGGGGACTCGGAGGAGGGCGGCCGCTGCCCGCCCCCTGCTGGAGGACGCGGTGGCTAGTCCCGGCTCCCGTCCGCTCCTGGGAAGCAGAACGTGCCGACCCGCTGCACGACCCCAACCCCGGATCCTGCCCGCTGTCGCCCGCCCTCAACTCCCTGGAAGCAGTCTTCTGCCCGGTGCATGTCCCCCCACCCAGGTGCTGCCCACCCTTCTCGGCACCCAACTCCTTGGAAGCATAGCTCTCCACCCGGTGCACGCCCACCTCCTGGATGCCTGTTGCCCCTATCCCAACCCTGCACCCTATGCATGGCCCGCCCACCGCACCTGCCTACGCCACTCCCCGCGCTTCTCCGCGAAGGTGGCAGGGGTGGGGGTTCTGCCACACTGTGTGTCTGTGGGTGAGTCACTTCGCCTCTCTGAGCTTCCTCCGTGGAAGCTGTTGTTATTGCTAAAAGCCGTGGTGTCCCGGTGGCAGGGAGAAATGGAACCCCGAATGAAGTACCCGGGACGCGATGCCTTCCTAAGACCTGCGCGCAGCCCTGCCCAGAGGCTGCGGGCTTCTAAGGTGGTTGGGGTGGGAGCTAGCCCCAAGTCCAGCCGTAAGAACCCGGCGCTCACCCTGCAGACCGGGGAAGCATTTGAACAGGCCCCGGGCTTGGACCCAGCCTCCTCCTTGACGGGACCCTTGAAGAAGCCCTGGGCAGCTCTTGGGGCCCACCCTTCTGCCACTCCCAGCCAGGCCACTCAGGCAGGAGCTGCCAGCTTGCCTGGGGCTGACCCCCGACCCATTGACCCCAGCCCTGGCCTCAGCAGGCTGACGGGCGGGCGTTGCTCAACCTTCAGCGTTATCTGCTGAGCTGGGGTGACCTCCGCCCCCAAGAGCTGGAGAATTGACATCTCCCTGTGCCCTTGGGGGTGGGGGGCAGGGAGGGAAGGGATAAGACGCTTGCCCTGCCTGCGGCTTTCTGGCCTTCCCAGCAGCCTCTGGGCCAGGAAGGGATCAGGGCCCAGAGAGGCGTGGTGACATCCCCAGGGCCACCCAGCCAGGCCTGGCTGTAAAGTGGGACACTGGGGCTCCCCCGAAGGGCCCTCCCTTACCCACCTCTGCTATTTTCCCAGCCTCTCAGCCACCGTTCTGCAAGATTGCCTTGCTTCCCTCGGCTTCCCCCAGCCTGGTCTTGGTAGAGTGAAGTCCCGCGCCCACCATGCCCCCCAGTGGACAGTAGACCAGCACGCTTCCTGTTCCCTCGGGACCCTGAGCACTGTCCCTCAGCCCTACTCCAGGAAGTCCTCCCAGATTCCCTAAATCCCAAGCCCCCTGACACCCCTGACCAGAAAGCCCAACTCACCTGGCCACTGCTCCCTCTGTCCATGCTGCCCCTCCCCGCGTCAGCCCCTCCAGGGAGGGACTTCTCTTCATTTCGTATTATTGATTTGCTCTGTGTGTGTGTGTGTGTGTGTGTGTGTGTGTGTGTGTGTGTGTGTGTGTGTGTCGCGCCACAGCTTGCATTGAAGTTCAGAGAACTTGTGGCAGTCGGGTCTCTTCTTCCACCGTGCAGGTCCTGGGGATTGAACTCGGGTCCTCAGGCTTGGCAGTAGGTACCTTAAGCCCCTGAGCCAGCTTGCTGGCCCGACTTCTCTCTTTTGCCCGCTGTTTCAGTTGGGTGTGGCCTTGGGCAAACTGGCTCCCCTTTCAGAGCCTTAGCTTCCTGCCCAGAGTTCTGGGTTCTGGGGAAACGCAGCGAGAAATCCGGGCAGCTGCTGTGTGTCCTTAGCCTGTCCTCCACCCTCTCTGAGCCACATTTTGCACTCATTTACTCCTCTTGGTAATGTGTAGGTGGGCCTTACTCCCTGTGCTTTACAGGTGTGGAAACGCTGGGCAGAGCTAGACTCTGGCTCAGGAGCATCACGGGAAAGCAGCGCGATGGAGAAAGCTTCCCCTTGGGGCCGTGAAGTCCCGACAGTAAACTGAGGTCTAGAGAAAGGTGACTCGGGTCCCACAGGGACTCGAGGGGTGACTCAGGCCCCAGGGCCCTCACTGCTCATCAGATAGCCTGGCTCTCTGGCCTCCAGACTGGGCTAGCTGGCCTCCAGACTGGGCTAGCTGGCCTCCGGCAGCCTCCCTGCCGGGGCTCACTCCCCGAGGCTGACCCAGCGTCTCACAGGCTCCTGGCTCCGCGGGCCCTGCCTCCGTCCTCGCCAGTCCTTCCCCGGGGCCGGGGCCCCACCAGGCCTGGGCAGCTGGTACAGCCGGCCTTCCCCACCTAGGGCAGCTCCTCCCCTCTCCCTGTCCCACCCTCATGTTTGGAGGAACTTGGGCCGCAAAGGTCCCCACTGTGGCCAAATCAGCACTGGAATGGGTTGGCGAGACACCACCACGGTGTGCTTGGGATTGTATTTGTTGTACGTTACACCGTTGTGGAAGTGCTGGAGTTAGAAGCTTAGACCTTGCACATGCTCTACCAATGAGCTACATCCAGCCCTCTCTCTGCTTTTCCTCTTGATAAGTTGCCCAGGCTGGCCTTGAACTTGGGACCCTTCTGCTTCGCCCTCCAGAGTGGCTGGGATGACTGTGGCCCAGCTGTGACTTCAAGTGAATTCATTGCTAGCATGTAAAACACGAGACTTCACGCCACAGTCCTCGTTTCCAGTCCTTTTACACGTGGGACTCTGAGCTGGTGTGTTGAGCGTGGTTATGGTGGTTGCTAAGGCAATGGACATTTCCTGCATGGCATGCTCACCCTCTGCTGCCCCCAGGCCCAGAGGAGGGAGGCCTCAGAAGCTAAGTCTTAGCCATCTTCAGGAGGGGAGGCTGGAGATGAGCCCCTCCCGCAGCCTGTAGGCCGCAGCTGTGACTCAGTACAGGTGGACTCTAGTGAGGGGGTCAGGCAACCCCTCCCGCTCCCATGGGGACCCTCCTTGCAACGGTTCTCTGGCCGTTTCTGGGGCCTTTCAGCATATAACATGGGCATGTGGGATGTCCTATCTTCTGACAGGTGGGGTGACTCACACCTCCCACAGCCCCACACAGGCCTCGAGGCAAGCCGCCACACAGCAGGTAGGTGAAGAAGCCGGCCTCAGTGGCTCCTGAGTTCTCCCATGTAACTGCTGCTGCCAGAGCCCCTGCCCCACACGTACCCGGACCTGGGTTTCATTCCCAACCAAGAAAAATAAGCAAAGAAGGAAACCACCAGGTCCCGTCTCTCAGGCCTTAGTTTCCCCCACTGTGCCTGGCAGGCTTCAATCCCGCCGCCTTCTCTGAAACTTGCCTGTGTGTATGCTGCCACCATGCGGCTGGTCCTGGAACTGCAGGAGTGACTTGTTAACCGTTTGTGTGCAGTGATTTGCTGTGGAGGGGCTGACACCCACAGGACGTGAGCGCGCCACTAAGAGAAGTCCAAATGTCCGAGACATGGGCAGAAGACTCTCAGTTTCATGTAGTTACTCATCAAACTTTTTTTGGGGGGGGAGGTTTAGACAGGGTTTCTCTGTGTAGCTTTGGAGCCTGTCCTGGAACTCGCTCTGTAGACCAGGCTGGTCTCGAACTCACAGAGATCCTCCTGCCTCTGCCTCCCGAGTGCTGGGATCAAAGGCGTGGGCCACCACCTCACAGCTCATCAAAGGTTTTAAACTGTGGTTCAAATCCTGGAGACAAGGCATGGATAAAGCCACCATGTCAAACTGTGGGACTGGTACTCAGTGCTGGGGATCTGACGGTCACAGGGCACAGTGGGGGGTGACATGACAGGGAAGCCTGTAGGTCTGCACCAGGCAGAGAAACAGCCAGGTAAAGGCCCCGCCTCTGAGGGTTGGGTTGGAGGCCACATCACAAACAGTTTTGCTGGCCATCGCCATAAAAACTGGCTGTTATGGGGGTCAGGGTATGGAACAGAACGTGTAATGGACCCTCTGGTTCCCCATGGCACAGACCGGTGAGGAGGGGAGGGTGGACCTGGTGTGCGGCCACTGCAGGACCTCTACTGAAGGTGAGATCATTGAGATGTGCTGGGGGGATGGGCACTGTGCTGGGGGATGGGCACTGTGCAGGGGGGATGGGTGCTGTGCTGGGGGGGGATGGGCGCTGTGCTGGGGGGATGGGCACTGTGCTGGGGGGATGGGCACTGTGCTGGGGGATGGGCGCTGTGCTGGGGGGATGGGTGCTGTGCTGGGGGGATGGGCGCTGTGCTGGGGGGGATGGGTGCTGTGCTGGGGGGGATGGGCACTGTGCAGAGGGCATGGGCACTGTACCTCTAGGGTCTGAACCATAGCCAGAAGAGGGTTGAGAATGACTGACTATATGAGGGAGGAGCTTCTTTGTCTAACTCTTGGATATCCTTGTTCCTTGCTCTTGTGATCGTCCGTGACTTGTAATCACAGCCCTTAGAAGGCCGAGCCAGGAGGCTTGCTTCCGGTTTTCCAGGTCAGTCTTAGTTAGCTACATAGTGAGACCCTGGTCAAAAGACAAAAATGAGAGAGAGAGACAGAGACACAGGGAGACAGAGACAGACAGACAGACGTCCTCTGGAGTCAGTAGTCAGCAGTGACATTGAAGAGGCCATCTTGTGTGCATAGCATAGACGCCGCTCGCTTCCTCAGGGTCTTCTGAGATCTGGGGTCCGCCTCTCCTGTGTAGAGCCCACAGCCACGCCTTCAGATGTCACCATCCCTATCATGACGAGTGTCTTTTCTTCTGAAGCACCGACACTGGAGGATGACTGAATCCAATGTCTATGTCATAGCCAGGCTGTGGCCCCCTTTACAAGGGACTCGCAAAGTGTGAGAGGAAGAAAACTGACTTCATTAAGTAACTCCAGAAGTGCCGGA